AAATAATGCAGGGTTATGATAGCCATAACATAGTGGTGATGATAGTATAGGTATCGTGATAATAAAGTATTGCACTTAAGAGTTGGTCACGACGTATGGGTCATGCATCGGCAACTGGCGATCGAACAGCCAAAGGAGCGAACATATCAACAGTTGGTGTTGATATAGCTGAGTGGACGTTTGAACCGAAGAAGACAAAGGGTCAGTAGTTTGTGATAATAGTGATAAGGTGGTGATATGTTGAGCGAATTTGAAACTAATCAATTGAAGGTGAGCCAACGTTCGGACCGTTGACATTTCGAACGTGGGATTTTGGTGGCCAAAGAGAATATTACGCAACACATCAGTATTTTTTATCGAGACGATCGTTGTACATCGTTGTTTGGCGTACTACTGATGCTGAGGCGGCACTGCCGGATTTAAATCAATGGCTCGTGAATATACAGGTGTGTGATTCGGTGATAGAGTGGCTCGGTTCAGCTGCTCTATCTTGATAGAGTGGCTAGTACAGTGGATGGAATTTTTTAGGCTCGTGCACCGAATTCACCAGTTATTATTGTTGGTACACACGTCGATCAGATTCTGTCGAATCGAGAGCGTTTTCCGGAGGGGTATTTGGAGGAGTTGGATGCGATTATTAGAGGTTTTGTTTTGTGGTGATAGTCAGTGAACAGTGCTTATTGATGGTGATAAATAAACAAAAATACGATAATGAATAGATGATATATTGTAGAGCGTTTCGTGCTCGTGCCGGATGCAGACAAGAAGGGTTTGCCACGAGTGGTTGAGTCGGTGTTCGTGTCATCGAAAACGAAATATAACATCAGATCGTTGTGCAATCTGCTCTACAGGACTGCATTCGATATTCGAATAGCGGGTAGCAAAGAACGTCTTTTGGACCAGAAAATACCCGCATCTTATTTGGCACTTGAGAAGGTTGCTGGCTTGTTGTTTTGATGGCTTGAATTTAGTGGTGCGACCGACTGTCAATTAATTTTGTTGGCAGTAGTATCAGTGATTCTTGCCTCATAATAGTAGTAGTGATAAAATTTATCCGCGTAAAAACTCGATTTGAGTGAGTGCCTGCTTGTACGTTCTGCGTTTGTGTCTCATTGAAAGAGTTGATTGAACGGTGCAAAAAAACAGTTTGAGAAGGGAATCAGACTGGCAGTGAGTGATGAGTGGTATTTGTTTGAAATTGTAATTCGTAGTTTGCATTTTTTTACGAATCGTCAAGTTGTTGATATTATTATGGTTATTGTTGTTATCGTTATTATCAGAAATGGAACTTTAAGATAGTGGTAGCGCTTGGTGATGAGCGACGTTCAGTGGGTATCGAGCCAGTGATGAAAGCCAGTGATTTTCGGTTGGCAGTTCAAGAGAGAATGTTAAAAAATTACGGTCGTGCTTTCAGAGATGATATCGAATTCAATCATGCTTGCTCATTTTTACATGAAAACGGTTATTATTCATTGTTGTTGTTTAAAACATGGTAACATTAATGTGTGCTGTTGATATAAAATGGAGCAAATCAAAAACTAATGAAGCGGTCGTCATTCAACGAACAGAACGTGCTAAATATCAGTGCGAGGTTACTGAGACCGTCTTGTGGCTGTTCAGTGAGCGAGTGCGAGAGCGAATGGGCGAGTAATCAAATTTCGAGTGTTTTGCTCAAAGCAATAAGCGATTTCGAAGTGGTTACATTGTAACTCAGAGCGTTGTTGGATTGGTTGGCTATGTTGCTCGTATGGAAAACAATAGGTGGACAATGAGAGACGTGTTCTGGCTTCTACGAGAACACAAATATTCCGTCCCCTGTGAAGGCTAAAACAATGACTGGAGATCCAATCGGTTAAATTATTCGAGCTGACATGGCCACGTGAGATTAAGTGCTTATTCGATCTGTAATCACATAAGGACAGATCGAATAAAGATGCTAAACATGTTTAATATGAGAAGTTAAATCCGGGTAAATGCGAAAAAATTTCAGGCGTAATGCTTCACTATGAGGATGTGACTTTACGTGAATTGTATTTTCTGGATCCACAATGGCTATGTGATATCCTTGCACACGTGATAACAATACGCGAGATAAATCCGTTTGCGAGAAATGGTCTAATGAAAATCGATGATTTACATATTCTTTTTAAATCGTTGAAACTCGGCAATTCAGCTATTAATTTAAGGTTGATGATCGTGATATTTATTGGCTTACTTGCTCTTATGTGTTGTTTTGAAATTTTTTTTTCACAGAATGAAGAATATTGTATCAAAAACATTTCTGTTCAGATGAAAAGAGATTTTTCTGATTTTGATGCTAATTTTTTAAGATCTCATATAATTTCGTTGCTACACAAATTCGAAGTGGCGTTAACGTGGCAGTCACGTTCGCTGTTGATTCCATCGCTGTTGCCCGACGAATATCAACTGCGTGGGGGTTATCCTGGATCTCGAGTCGCTGTGAGTTTTGCCGTAGTATCAGCTTCGAGCGAATTATACTTCTTCAGACCGTCAGTAACCGTTCACAAGCGAAATTAACCGCATTGCTCGGTGGAAATGACCGAAATCTGAAAGCAAAAGTGATCACACCACAACCAAAATTCCAGGTAGCGACCAAAGTGACCGGTTGGCAATTGCACTGGGCACGTGAGCCAGCCCCAGCGGCTCTGGCTGGAGCAGGAGGTTCTGCTAGAGATCGTTCCAGTGGTGGCGCTATTCGTGGCACAGGCAATTCCCTACCCCTGCAATCTCTGTTCTATCAACACAGTCTCGACGAGCCATCGTTGTTGAAGCATTCGAAAAGTATGATGACTAGCAGGAGCACAGGGCCTAGAATTGCTAGTTCAGCTGCTGCTCAAAAGCAGTCGTCATCGAACGTTGCGGACACAACGGTGAACTCTGGGAGCACGAAACATGGCGCAATTATAAGTTTAGATAAGAAACAACTGGATCAAGAAGATGGACAGCTGGTAGAACAAGAGCGAAAACATCAATTGGACGTTAGCATTGTGAATGAGGTTCGGCATGGGATTTTTCAGTGTTAGACTGTATATTGTCGAGATTATGCGGAAGTTTATCATTGATTAAGAAAGAAGAATGCTCCAGTATTGTGTTGATGAAGAGTGTAGGGGTAATGTTCAGAGTCACACGTTTCTGGGAATGTTGTGCGGTTGAATTGAATTGGATTGGATCGAAAGAGATTTTGAAGTTGTGGTGCTGTGAATTTTGAAGATTTAGTTTAGAAAATTCCGATAGTTATTTTACTTCGAAATGAAATTCAAAAGCCAATCGGCAGAAGCATTATTCATTTTGTGTGTTGGTTGAAGGAGATCGTGCGTCGAGTGTATGTGATGGCTTATGTACCGTCGGGATTTTGGTCACGTCTAATGACACGTATTCTGTGTGACGATCACATCACCTATTCAATCGAGCACATGTTCTATATTGATCAGATTTGTTGTCTATTATCTGCACCCACATCATCAACCTCGAATCAGTCAGAAATTGATCAACTGAAAAGAATTTGTGATCGGGAATATAAACCTGAATGGTTATTGTGGCAGACGGGCATCGAGGTGAGTGATTGGGATTCGGATTGAATGAATTGAATTTCCAACGGATTTTTCGAGCTTTCCCACTGATGGTATTCTGTTGATTAGCAGGGATTTAATGTTTTGTTATTGTTAATGTTGTTGTTTAAAAAGTGTGATGATTTCTGAGAAAAAATCGAATTCAGGTAATCGCATTCNTTCAGGTCATTTTCAGTTGATTGATTTTGCTATTGTTACTGACTGGTGTTGTTATTAAAATAGTCAGTGTTATTTGTTGGGATTTTCAGTATAGCGCTGAATGATGGTAGCAGAGAATACATTTTACGTACAGATCGTTCATTTGTGACAAAATTTATGGCGTTGGTTGTTGATATTATCGACACACTCTTGGAGGATTGGTTCGTGAATAGTCTGTTGTTTTAGGATTGTTCAAATTTTGTTTGTTTTGATCAGAATGCGTTGTTACGTAAATGATTCATTCCAATAGGAAACCTTTTTGTGAAAAACATTTTGGAATTTTCGTTTCCATAGAATACAGAAGTCATTTTGGTTGTTAACAAATCCGTGTTTTTTTTGGAGAATATTGAAGAATTTTTTCAGTTGTTTGTTTGTTTGATTGTTCTCCTCTTTATTTGTTTGTTTCCGAAGTAAATTTGAATAGTCGCGTTCAACAGTTCAAATTCAGGTACCCGTCGTTGGGTACACGATTCGTACATACGTCTGAAGGTCGTCTTCTGGTGAATCGACTGATTCCGTGTCCAAATTGCGCAAGTCTCTATCGCAACTCCGCGACAGATACGGATTCCACTGAGAAGGACTCAAGCTTTGCGGTCAATAAGAAACCCTCAACAAGCAGCAGGTTTCTTTCTGCTTTTGTTGCATTCAGTGCTTTGTTTATTTGCTCATTTATTTATTCGCTTACTTGGATGATTTCTGACTGAATTGTCTTTTTTTTTTGTTTCAGTATGCGATCTCAAACGGTTGGTGATTTCTGTAAGGTGGAGGCTACAACGCCAGGCGCACCCAATCTGCTGCATGCGTTCTCAATTGAGGAGTGTATTCTGAACGCACACGAAGGTAAGAATACGGTATGTGCGCTACACGGCGAGCAGCCCATTGAACAGATCGCACCTGATACCGTATTCCTGGACATCAATAGCGATTATCTGATTGGGTTTGAGTTCGTGAAACGCGGCAAAATGATTGGTCGAGGCGCGTTCGGCTTTGTTTTCAAGGCTGCGCTCAAGAATACGGTAGGTTTCATGGCTAGGGCATAAGTATTAATGAAGTGGTGATATTGTGAGGAGATTGTAGGGTTGATAGTGTTTTGTGAGAAGTTGCAGTGAGCGTTTTAATGTTTATAAGTGGTAGATGACAGTGGATGATATAATTTGGTTTGTTTGAAGGAACAAGGAATGCAAGATGCAGCGCTGAAAATGTTGGAACCAGTTGAGCCTGGAATGGGTGCCAGAGCCTCATCAATCTCAGCTTATAAAGTGAGTGGCAGATTGAATACTCGTACAGTACCCGTACGGTACCAGTACAGTCGAAGAATGAAGTAAACAATGAGTTCACAAAACAAGTGAATAAGTGAGCAACAATTCATTGATTTTTATTTTATTTTAGGCTGCTCGAACGAAATGGATTCGCGACCCATTGCAGAACGCATGTCGTGCGTATTGTACGTGTCGTCAAGAGTTGAATGTGTTAGCGTCACTGCAGCACAGCCATATCACTGCTCTTCTAGGCGTATGTAGACGTCCACTTGCACTGATTGTTGAGTTGGCTCCGTTGGGAGCGCTCAATCATCTGCTGTCGAATTATCGCCGAAGTGGAGCTCGTCTCCATTTGAGTGTTATCCAGGATACGGCTAGTCAGGTAATGAAGCGAACTCTTTTATAGATGAGGTTGATTTTGATCCGGTTTTCTGATCCGCGAAATCACTTGTCCATCGCCTTTTGTAAGAAGGCGATGGACAAGTGATTTCGCGGTGTAGTATCTGAAGGATTCCATATTTTTGGAAATTTCTCGCCCAGAAAACTTCGTGTTTCATTCCCTCGATGAGAATCTATCTCTTCGGTTGTTTTAGGTGGCCAAAGCGCTCGAGTATTTACACGAACATCACATAATCTATCGAGATTTGAAATGTGAAAATGTTCTAACGTGGCGGTTTCCGCCACCGTTCAGTCAAATCACTGACGTGCACGTAAAGTTGGGTGATTATGGAATATCGCGAAGTTCATTTCCATCGGGCGGAGCGAAGGGTTTCGGTGGTACTGAAGGGTTCATGGCACCTGAAATTATGCGATATAACGGAGAGCAAGAGTACACTGAGAAGGTCGATTTGTTTGCGTGTTTCAGAGTTTTTCTGTTCATGTTTTTCAGTGATTTTCAAAAAATTCAGGAATTCTTATGTG